GTTCCTCCAGGTTAGGAGTGACAATCTAGCGTCAGCTGGAGAGCGGCTGTTGCAAATGTCCAGGAGGCACTTTGGCTTCAACAGTTCACATGCATCCCAGGCTTTTGAGGGCGAAACTTTAGACAACGTCTTGATCCATTAGGATCGAAACATCATCCGTCGTTTGGTTCTCCGAAGGTGGGCTCTTTGTGAAAAGGCATAAACACACAGACACAAGAGAAGATAGCCGCGATCGAAGCGTAACCACAAGCCCGTGCCTGCTCTTACATAAGTTTTAAATATTTCGTCTTTGTACAACATGGGTCCATTTGTATTTGCCTGCAGTGTATAGGTGACTTAGCTGTGAATATCGTTACACAAGTAGCTATGGAGTGGGGGTCGCGTCTTCACCATGTAAGTAAGAAGAGGCGTATAGAAGACAATGCGCTTGCAAGGCTTATCATGAACGGCCTATGTGTTTTTTTAGTACTTAATTGGTACCGAATGACAGGGTTTTGGTTATCTTAAAATTCCATTAAAGAGGCCTTTGAATCTTTGAGTAATGTCATGTGCCAATGATAGTCTATAGTTTACCATAGGCATCAAGCCTTGTATCATTACTGTTGTTAGAATAAATGACCTTTTGAACGTACTTTTACTGTTTGTCTTTATGTAGCTTTAGCCCCTTTCTAGAGTAGTTCTTACTAGCTAGTAGAGCCGATATAGATCATTAGAAAAAGTGTAGAAACATGATCGTCAAATGCTTTCTTACCCAGAGGAAGACAAAAATTTGCAAATGACTCAAAAATAAACTTCTAAGCTCTACTCCACAAGTAGACGGAATGTTTCCTGAGGGACCTGTCTGCCTAGCAGACGGGGATGAGGCTTGTCTGCCTAGCAGACGGGGAGTGAATGAGCTTCCTCTGCATCTGCTAGTGTTAGTGTGTGTGTGTGTGTGTGTGTGTGTGTGTGTGTGTGTGTGTGTGTGTGTGTGTGTGTGTGTGTGTGTGTGTGTGTGTGTGTTTGTGTGTGTGTGTGTGTGTATTTGTGTGTGTGTGTGTGTTTGTGTGTGTGTGTGTGTGTGTGTTTGTGTGGTGTGTGTTTTGTGTGTGTGTTGTGTGTGTGTTTGTGTGTGTGTGTGTGTGTGTGTGTGTGTGTGTGTGTGTGTGTGTGTGTGTGTGTGTGTGTGTGTGTGTGTGTGTGTGTGTGTGTGAATGTTTTTTTGTGTGTGTGTGTGTGTGTGTGAATGTTTTTTTTTGTGTGTGTGTGTGGGTGTGTGGTGCGTGTGTGTATATGTGAGTGTGTATGAGAGTGTGTTTGAGTGTTTATGTGAGTGCGTTATGAGTGTGCATGTGTAAGTGTATATGTGTGTGTGTGTGTGTGTGTGTGTGTGTGTGTGTGTGTGTGTGTATGTGTGTGTGTGTGTACAACCAGCAGCGGATAGTTAAGACGGAGAGCCCCAATCCAGAGCGACTGGAGCCTGATCGGCCCAGTACACTGAGCCAGAACATTCATTACAATTGGCTGGTGAACAGTACAACAAGCTTGGCCCAGGCTCCCAGTGACCAATGTTGGGTCTATAGCATACCTTTTTATAGTGAGAATGTCTAGCTGTCCCTGTTGGGCCTTTTTTGAATAATCATTCATGGAGATATTGTTTTTACTCCCAAAAGTGGGCTAGTCCTTTAATATCATTAGATTCTCAACTAACTTGGGGCATCCAAACCTTTTTGTGTCTTAGTTCTCAATTGAAAAAAATTCACAATTGTCATATTGAATGCCTTCATGACAAGGTGTCTGATTAAGTTCTTTTTCTCTTTCCTTTCAAATGTTCTAGATCTAGTTTGGTCGCTGGGAGCTCTACCTGATGGTACGTATTTCTTCTTGTTACTCTGCTAGCCAGCTAGGGGGGTACGTTACACGAGGATCCTCTCACTACTTCTTCTCCTTTTTTCCTTCCAGTTGACCTGCAGAGGCTCTCATATCTGCCTCAGTTAATACAACACTTGTAAAATACACAGTAGCAGCTCACAGACTACAAACAGATTTATAAAAGGAAACATAACTGCTGCCTTTTTTTTGCGACCTAAGAGGTTGTGAAGAGGGGTGAGAGAGGCAGTATAGGTCGCTAACCCAACTTCCTCCAGTCAGCCAACCTCACTGCCTTTGCCATTCTCTCTTTATCACGTCCTCCTTCTTCTTATCGTGTTTCCTCGTGTACTGTATCCTCCTGGTGCCTCTAAACTCGAGCCTGACCCGAAATGCGCCTCAGAAAACAAAAGAATTTTTTTGAAATACTCATTACCTCTCGCTGGCCATCAAATACACAATGCCATATTGATAGACTTCCTAGCCCCTTGTAGTAGCTGTGGTGTTTTACAGCTGTCTGTGCTGTTTCTTCAGACACAGAGAGAAAACACAATGTTCGAGCTGTCACTGTAACTTTTAGAAGGAGAAAACCGGAAAGAGAAAGTGTTCGATATTTAAGTTAAGCCTCCGTGAGGTGTATCGTCAACGGTGTTACGTTATCCCAGTCTAGGGTGTGTAGGATGTAGCTTAGGTGTTGCTGGATGGATCACTGGACAGGTGTTGGGTGCTGCATTCAGACTGGTGTTGGGATTGCTGCTGATGCTCGTAAGGAGAGTGTATTGTATCTTATCTGTCACGCATACACACACACACTACAGGAATTACACACGTGTCACATCTTAGCATCAACATTGGTCCTTACATAGCAACACAACCTTATATATTTCTAACTGAATTCAGTATTTTACACATTTAACAAACAGTCAATAATGAACAGTTTCAGTTATTCAATGTGTATGCAAATTATATACCATATACTCCCAAGAAAAAAAATCACTAAATATAACATCAATACATATGTAAGAACTCAACTTATACACAAATACATCTTTCATATGAGCAAAAATAAATTGGAATTATACTAACTTGTCCCAACCTTTTCTTTCTAAGATAGAGTGCACTGGTGGTACTGAAATTTTAAGTGAAACTTTAGGACTATGAAACACGAGTGCCAGATGATTTTAATGATGTAAGTACAGTATTTATTATAAGTTTTTTTTCTTATTAAGGGTGAAGCAGGTGACTACCTTGATGGACAGAGCAGCTCGGGGGTAAACTTCCAACTCTCTGCATCCAAATAAAGTCCTGAGACACACGTTTCAGAACAAGATTTTTATTAGGACAACGTTTCGCTCTGTGTAGGGCTCTGATGAAGCTTTGATAAAGCTCCACGCAGAGCGAAACGTTCTCCAGATAAAAAAAAATACTTTCCAACGATATGTTTTGTCTTGTCCACGGCATTCACTGGAGGAAAACACACAGTGACACAGGTCAGGTAACAGCACCACGAACACTGTACACAGTAATGTACACACACACAAGACACAGTTCTGTTAAGTACAGAAGGAAGTACTTTCAGTGAAGTCTCTTGCAGGTGTTTTTAATTATATATATTTTTTTAATTTGGGACAAGAACATGCAACATGTAAGACCTCTGAGATACTACATATGTTGTTCCACACACAGTCTTAACAAGGCTGCAATAGGGTTCCTTTGCATATTGATTTTTTGCAAACGCAAGTGCAAAAACACACACACACACTCACACACACACACACACACACACACACAACACACACACACAAATGATTTAATAAGATGTTAGGGGAAAAAACATGAAAAGGAAAAAAAAAATAATCTTTGAATCAAGGCAGAAAAAAATCTTGGCCCACAAACTGTCCATAAATTATTTAAAAATCAAAATACATCGAAAATAAAAATGGGAAATTTTCAGAAAAAAAAACAACTAAAAATGCGTGTCGAAACGAATTTAATTTTTTCAAGTTTTGCCAAACAAAATAATATAACAAATTAAAAAAAAAATAACAAATTACATTAACTGTTGAATCTGGATTTGAGATTTAACAAAATAAATGAAAAAAAAAATGGGTAGTGTTTAGTACGAGGTATTAAAAGAATAGCATTTAAACGCCCTCTCCTCCTCCCCCCCCTTCAAAAAAAAAAATAGATGAAATATTTCCCATTCCCCAGGCGCTGTATGACCCCTGTGGGTTTAGTGCAGCCACTTGGCTATATTTTTAATAGGAGGGTTATATAGCCAAAGATGAAATTTTAGGAAATAAAGATTAAATATAAAAATAAAGGAGTGTGACTAAGGGAGATATCACCCTGGGCTTTAAACCACTTTATCTTTATTGACTCTGAATAATCTCTGAGAGGTCAATAAGGGTCAAAAATAATAACCGATAAACGGAAAATGACAAATATTTGAGAGCACATGATGCAGAAAGGAAAAAAAAACGTTGTTAGGACAACATTTCGCTCTTCATAGAGATGCATCAGGTCATGTTTCTCTCAGTGTAGACATTTACAAAGTCTTATTCGTCAGCAAAATACCACGTCATCGCACTAACATTTTTATCTAAGCAGAATGTTCAGTAATCCTTTAACAGATTTAGCAATGGAGAAATATATATATATATATATATATATATATATATATATATATATATATATATATATATATATATATATATATATATAATATATATATATATATATATATATAGTAATAATAATAATAATATCATAATATATATATATATATATATATATATTATATATATATATATATATATATATATATATATATATATATATATGTCGTGCCGATTTTGGCATAAATAGCAAAGCTCTTCTTGCCGAGCATGGCAAGCGAAAATTGTGTATGTAATAATTTCATAAAAAATCATTCTGAACCCTAAGGAAAAAATATATTTCATTGTGTTTGTTTATTATTAAATTACTGTAAATTTATCTAAAATGTATTTAGCTCGATTACCTTAAATTAATTTGCGCTTGTTATAAGGTTAGGTAAGTTTTCTAAGGTTCTTTTGGTACAAAATTATTAATTTTTACATTAGCATAAATGAAAAAAAAATATGTCTTTGAACGTATAAGAGAAAATTTTATAAAGAACATAATTTTAAATGAATTCTTGCTAATTGACCAGTTTTACCAGTTCCTTGATAATGTGAGTAGTCACGAAAGCGCTTGGAATTTCTCTATTCTTTCAGAGTGGTTGTTTTGCATATTCTGAAATCACCTGTTTACTGTGATCTTATTGCATATATATATATATATATATATATATATATATAAAATATATAATATAATATAATATATATATATATATATATATATATATATATATATATATATATATATATATATATATATATATATATATATATATATATATATATATATATATATATATATATATATATATATATATATAATAATATATATATATATATATATATAATATATTATATATATATATATATATATACGTTGAAGAATCAAATCGATGGATAGATTACGTTTGGTTTTGTTTTATTCATTAGATTCTGAGGAGAAAATATTAGTGCAGTGGTATGTCAAGCAAAATATTTTAATGTATATAATATGAGTTACCATAACACAGGCGAAGAATGGAATGAAGACTTTACTGATGTTCCACTAGCATTAGTACATTCCCCAGTTATTAGTTTACTAGTGGGGGTCCCTCAAGGATTAGTACATTCCTACTGATGATCTTTAAACAAATAATCTTGAGTATTATTAAAAGAAATCTTATGGAAAAGCAGCATAAAATGATTGCAACATTTGACGGGATGATCTATATAAATTGACCACTGGGCTGTAAACAGATAACTACTGCGTTTTATAATGATAAAATACAGGTAACGGAAATGGATGAAAGTTTATATAGGCTCCCAAAATCGTTTAAAATTTGATATCAAATATTAAAATCACACACACACACACACAGACACACACACACAAACATGTACAGTACATAGTTTGGTATTATAATGCTAACTTACCATTGGTGTTGTCCAGTGTGACAGTAAAACAGTCGCTTGTTGACACCTTGGGCCAGGTGAGGCTCCCTAGGTGAAGCCTCGTTCCCCAAGGTGAGGTGAGGTTTCCCAAGGTTGACGACCCGCTGTGGGCAGGTGCTGCGTTGATGTCGACGACCTGCGAGGGCCAGGAGCTAGAGCATACCACCGGTAAATAGACACACTGCTTGACTTTCTCCATTGTTAGCCCTTCAGGGTTAATAATGTGAATAAAGTCGCCGTCGTCTCCTTAATTTCTTCTGTTTATTCCATTTCTTCTCTTTTCTCTTTTTCTTTTCCCTTTCTGCTTTATTTCTTCTCCTTTCCCTTCTTCTTTTCCTCTTTTCATTCTTTATTCTTTTCCCTTTCTTCTTCTCCATCTTCCTTTATCTCTATTTTTTCATTATTGTCTTCGAGCCACAACACTGACAAGATAAAAAATCTGATGTTCTCTGCAGTATATCTTATAAAAACGGGTTACACAGTGACGAAGCTACACTGACAGCTATACTGAGGGAGGGAAATGTAAACACGAAATACACTGATGGTCAGCTTGAGTTTTTTCTTGTGACATCTGATTCCTAAAAAAAAAAAAAAAATGAAGAGAGATGCAATTTTATGAAACGTAATTTTTTTAAGTCACTTTTGTTTACGTGGAGACAAAATACTTGTTGTTTTCATTGTTGCATTTAAGGAAAACTTAATATGCAATTTTTTTTTTTTAGTTTCATAGGTGGCTTTTTTTTTTTTTTTTTTTTTTTTTTTTTTTGAGTGAAACTAAGAATCAGAGTTCGGAGAGCGTCGGGACAGGTTCGAACGAGGCTTGGTTTAGACTCCCACCCCCTTTTTTTTTTATATATATACCCCCCTTATACCCCAGGCACCAGCTTGGAACACTCTCCTCTGAACGCTCCTTGAGTAAATACCACCGAGGAACACTGTTTTTAGCCGTCATTCTCAATCAGGGAAAGTAACCTCGCTTAAAACAAATATCTTGTGATAAGTAGTTTGTGTGATCTTTTTTTTGGTTTAATTTTGCTAATACAATTTAGTAGCCTCTCGTAGGAGCTTTAGAAATCGTAGTGACAGGCTGCTGCCCGGGGTGTCCATTAGTTTATTTTTTGAAAGCTTTCTTGGCAATTTATAACAAAAACGTTTTTTTTTTATAATGCCGTACAAAGCTATGATTTCTTGATTAGGAATATAACTGCATGACCAGTGATATAGCTATTTATGTAGTAGGGATAGTTTTAAAAGCTTTTGTAGTACAAAGAAATCTTGACTTCTTGATCAGATTCAACTGGCTTATCCATCAAGTTATTTGTGAGTTAAAATGACCAGTAGTTTCACAATAATGACCACCACTAGAGCACCTTCACTTTAAACTCAGATTTAAGAACAGATATATATATATATATTTATGTCTCATGTTGGCAGCTAAACTAATCTTTTTTTTCCTTTTTCCGTCTGTTTTTATTCACAGGTATACAAGCAGCAGCGTACGCAGCATATGCTGGGCGCGGTTATGCCAGTTACCCGAGTTTCGGGTTTCCTTATCCAACAGGTAATTTAAACACGGGTCTGGCAGCGCTGTGTGTACCGCACCCAGTCGATGTGGGGTTATATAACCTGCATGCATTGCAGTTGTAACTCGCTCTTCAGCTGGGGATGGCTTCTACCCTAATATGTCCTCTTAAACTTTCGTGCCCAAAGCAAAAGCAGGCTACAGAGTGCTTTTTTTCCCCCCCGGAGCTGGGATCCAATAGCCTTCTACTGGATCGTTTTAATGCATTTAATTTTTTTTTACCCTAAAGTATTTTCGTCCATTTTTTTTGGACGAGTCTATTTTCAATTTTTGGATGCCGTCACCCACTTGTTGAGTCCACGAGCACAGGATCTATACTGACAGTTTTGATGAAAAAAAAAATTTACTAAAACATAGCAACTCTGAAATCTTTTCCAATAGCCATGATAACATTTACCTCCCCACCTCCCCCACCACCCCAAAAAAAATCGTCGTGGAAAGACGTATCATTTATACACCACAAGATTTTGCCTTTGACGCATGGTTTTGATTTCCTTACCTTCCTCTCCTCTACCCTTCCCTTCCATCCCTTCCCTAGACATTCCACTGCGCGCATTACCACTAACCATACTTCCAGTCGGCTTGTGAAGCCTATGTACGGGAGTACCTTGCTCTAGGGTGTATGGTAGGCTTAGCTGGTTTTTTTCCTTCGGCAAGTTTGTTGTAGGCCTGTATTTCTTGCTCCTTTCAGCCTAGTTGCAGTAAGTAATGAGTTTTTGTTGTTGTGGTTTTAATTTTTCATCTTATTTTTTTCTATTAACCCTTTCGGCGATATGGGAACGGATCTGGATAACTAAGGCAATCACTGGAATAACTTTTCAATGATTTAATTTTTTTGTGTCCTTTATCTTAGTCATTGAAAAGCTAGCCATGACTTGCCTCTCACCTGTCAATAAATCACACTAAGGACAGTGCATTTTTTCCCGTGCGTTGGATTTTTTATCTAATTTAAAAAAAGGCTTTTTAAGCCATTTAAATGCCTACATGATATAAAAAGGACAATAAGGTAATAGTAATTTAAATGGCTATTTTTTTGGAGCCATGAACTTCGCCATATCGTCGTGCGGTGTGAAAGCCAGTGGCAGGTGATGAGAGTTTTAGCCACCATCTGTAGCAGTGTATTGGTAGTTGTAGCAGCAAGATAGTGTACGGAGTGTGACCTGACACTTACACCAGTGACCTCATGTGACCTCTCATGTCAAGGTACATAGATATATCCAAAAAAAAGTCGTAGTTTTGGTTGTAAACACAAAAAAGAGTATCATTTTGTCTTGTTATGAGTCATTTGTTTCATCACAGTTCTATTGACGTTAAATGTTGCTTCTAGGGAAAGTTTTAAATATCTAATTATTGTATTGTTATATCCAAATAATGATATATGAAGTTTTTAAAAAGTTTTAGGTCAAGATTTTGATTTACTCTTTATTTCTTTTCCCAGGAATTGTTGGAATTTTGCCTGATGGCAAGTTTCCTTTGGGAGAATATATCGGTTTGAATCCTGCCTTAAACCTGGTTGGGCACACCTGAACCTCCCACTCGTGGCAGCTTGAGCCGAAACTCATATGCCTTGTATATAACCCTATGGACCTTATAGTGCAACCTGTGGCGCCCCTCTCATCTATCGCCGTTCAGTATGGGCAACATGAGGATAGAAATGATCTCTTCTGTGATTCTTGTTAGCATTTAAAGACATTATCATGCCAAAAAAAATAAACAGATCCCCCACAGATGGAAAATAAGTTAAATCTGGTTGTCATAGTGATGGAACATTACTGGTGATGATGTTACCTGTAGTTAAGAGTCCACTGAGACGGACTCTCTCCTTTATATCCAGGGACACTTCCTATCCAATCTTGTTGCTGCAACTTCATTATAATATATATATATTATATATATTATATATATATATCCACATAGGTGTTTGGAACGGCCTTGTCTAATGCAGTAGTTTTCCCTAGGACGAGGTTAGGATTATGTTCCAATGGTTTTAATCCTTAAGGATTTTTTGAGCGTCATGATATTTTGGAGGGAATTTGGGGGGATTTTTTTGGTTTAAGACGACGAATTCACTTAATTGTCCCGTATTTTGAAACTGCGTTTGGATTCACAGGGAGGAGGCGATGGTGGTCGAACCGAAGGATGCTGGACTTTTGGACAAGATTTTGATACCATCCTAATGTTAAAGATCCATCCACTCACTCTTGTGTGTTGCAAACATTGTCTTGCAACCTCTTTATTTAAATCATATAATCTTAGCTATATGAAGGAGAGGGAGCTGATTCTCTTAAGAACACTTGATGTAAAGCATCTTCTAAGCTAATTTGTCGTGATTATTTTCATCTAAGTGTCGTGTCGATTGGTCGTTAAGAATATATACGAATATAAATTAGTTTTTGATATTAGAGTTGCCGAATCTCGATATCATTTTCGTGATCATATGAAATGAAAATTCTGGAATATTAATGATAGCGGAAAGTGGAATAAAAATAGGTATTAGCTGCTTTCAGTGGGGCGATCAGTTGTTTTGGCTAATTATTCTGCTGGGCTAGTTGAAGAAGGATCAGCTGATTTCAAGTGAATTTGTTGATGAACTATAATCCTTATAAGGAATTTTTATGATTTGTTTACACCCTTTTATGGTTACAAATTATCAGCTGGGCTTTGCTAATGAGGAATAAGCTGCTTTTCGTTTACAGCTTACCAAGTGAGTGTTGTTGACGGGTGATGAGGCATTTCATACCGAACTATCTCATGTGCTTTCTGGAGTGAGGCAACTTTAGTTGTATTTTACGAATGATCAGCTGATTTTTGGCGTCTGACGATCAGCTGTTTTTTGTTGTCGGATGATCAGCTGTGTTTTGTTGACTTGCAATCAGCTGAATTTTTTTGATGGCCGATCAGCTGTTTTTTTTTTTTTGTAGGATGATCAGCTGTGTTTTGTTGACTGGCAGTCAGCTGATTTTTGTTGACGGGTGATCAGCTGTTTTCTGTTGTCGAAAGATCACTTTATATTTTTTGGCTCTCACTTGCAATCTGAAGCTGAGCCAAGTGTCGCACCTCGCACACTCTCTCCCACTAGCTCATTTAATATTCCAGAATTCCATCATTTAACTGCTGCACATTAGTGAAACAGGCTTCTCATATTTCAGATGCTAACTTTTTCCATAAGTTGACGGAGCGAATGTGGATTCCCATGGGAGTGAAATACCTCACACAATTTACCTCTCACTAGTGGAGACCGATTGCATTCATCAGCCTGATACCTCAAGTTAACACTGCAATGTGCGCTGTATGTTCACTTCGCATCCTTCATTTCATTACCATTGAACGAACTTGCCTAATGTAAAAAAAAAATGCGACTTCGCTAGCGAATTTAAACCTTATTCCTGCGTCTTCGTTAGAATCAATTAATCTCTTTCGTTGTTGTTGTTGTTGGTCTCCCGCAGCTCGACGGCCGCGGCACAATAATACACAGATCAAATGCAAAGACTAGGAGCGAACCAGTACATCGAGGTTTAAAATCGTGGGCTGTACGGCCTGTCCGGAGTCGCATCATCCACTTGACTGTTTCCTTATTTCTGTGATGATCAAGTATTAGATCGAATGGAGTGCCTTGATTGAGTGTACGGCTGGGCCATGTATAAGGTACACTTACCACTCTAGTTTACTCATACGACACAATGGATACACTCAACACACTTGAGTTACACATAGCGGGTATTGGGTACACCTTAATCAACACATTTACGTTACACATAGTGAATTCTGGGTGAACCTAATGCACCAAGGCATCATTTATGCTGAACAGGATACATATAACAAGCTTTTGTTACATTTATGTTAAATAAGCTTCACTTAACATGGTAGATTTCAATGTTTGTTCTCCAAGCATAATTCCCAAGAAAGTGTTTTTCTATCTCTGCTTGTATCGAAGACCTGTCCTGTCCATGATATTCTCTCCATCAGGATGCGACATACAACAGTCGACTAACACCTAGGTGCCCATTTACTACGTCAACAGGGGCAGCAGGTGCAAGGTGACTAACACCCAGGTACGTACTTACTGCTAGGTGAACAGCAGAAGCAGGTGGAAGGAGACACATGAAACGTCCTGCTTATAACCAGCTATGGCCTACAAGGTACAGTTAATTAACGTATCAAAGATGCACTTAAATTAAATACACTTACACTAGTTGCATTTAAACCCTGTGGTAACAGTTAATATATATAGAATACACTTAGCATACATAAGGAACTCATATGCTGTGGGGAGCACTGTAAATAAGTGGGAATAATAAGTAGTCCTTTTAACACGTTTATAAACATTTATAAACGGTACTTTTGCAGAGGGAACTCTAAAGTATAAAAATCTACATAAAGGAAAATCCAATACACATCAAATACACTTAGGAGACACAACAGTGGGAGGGAGAGAGCCGAGAGCTCGGGAGGGAAATGAGGGAGAACAGTAGCCATTTGAGCTCAGCCATCATATTCCATCTCTGTAAATACTTAGTTGAGGCGTAGATGTTTGGGTCCACCAGGTCGTCCTTCTTATAGACACAGCGGATGCCGCATCCACCTTGTCGGGCACCTATAGCTGACTCTCACCCAGGTACCTTTTTACTGGTGGGTGAACAGGTTCAACAACAGGTTCAAGGAGACTTACCCATACTTCTCGGCCAGCAAAAGGAGTGCAATCAGAATTCCTTCTGATGTGAGATAAACAGCTACGTCACAGTTTTACAAAACTTCTGTGGAGGCACAGAAGTGTTGGTCTTACATGTGGAAACAATCTGGGAAATATTAGCGACTGAGAGGCCCCAGGTTCTGGCGAACTGTTCTCCATGACTTCCCAGTTACTTATTCCATCCTACACATCTTTTCAATTTGTTTACGTTTTCAACTTACGTCACTGGCGCAGCAACAGCGACTCTCAACGCCTCATATCATAGTACAATGTCACAGACCCGGCCAGC